TAATATAGCTGAAATTTCTCTTATTTCCAATTTTTGTATGCAAAAATTATAAAATTTTGTATGCAAAAATAATACATTAGACAACGATGCTTGGGGATTAAAAGGATTTTTTTTTTTCATTTTGGTTTATAAAGGTCAACACTAAAACAAATAACTGCTGAGCAACACATAATTAGGTGATATTTACATAAAAAAACCTCTTCTCTTTTTTTTTAATCAGCTTTCTCTTTGGCAGAGGGACAAGTATTTGTCTCTCATTGCCAAGACATTCCACAATACCCAATACTGGTCACATCCTTACCTCCATGAGTTCTGGGGGACAGAAAGCAAATTCCTTTCCCCCCCATAGAGCAATGAAGTGTATGAAATCACAATAATGACAATTCTGCTAAGTTGTTGGATATCATATTCAATGAGGCTCACCTGTCCCCAGAGACAAACTCTTGACCCCAAGAGATGTCATGAAAGTATATGTGAGTATTTGATGGCTGCGCAGCCCTGCAGGAGGACATGCGTGCAACCTGAACACCGGCAACGTAACCTAAGTTCTCTTTGCATTTGCTGCTATGCACAGGTGCATAAATACAGCAGGAGGATTTTTCTAAGTACCTGGCAATACACTTTGTGCATCTGAGTTTGGAAAACATCTTGAACATTTCTAGCAGCAAGCTTACTATAGGGAACAGTCAATACACTAAAAGAGAACTAGAACTAGATTGAAATAATTAGAGATTCAAGTTCTCTAATTAGAGAATGTTTTTCATTTTAATGCTTATTGTTATTTGCATGTGTATAGCTGGATTATTCCCAGGTTTCTATCAGCTTCTGCCCACAAAAAGTTCAGTGGTGGGGAAAAAAATCTGTTCCATGCAAGATGTAAAAAGTCCCTAGTGTAAATGGACATCAGGGTGATACATGTTGTCACATATACATAAAATCCACACAGTCTGAAGTACATTTACTCTTTTATGCTGTCACCTGGCAGTTACCTTGCATTGCATGGCAGGGTCAAGTTGAGAGCAGGCATGGACAGAGAAACCAAAACACCATCCATGAGAAATTGTCAAGAGTTCCTCTTCCAAAAAAAGGAGTAGCAGCAAAGTGTCTGGCCACATCCCTTTCTACAGCTTTATAATGTATTGGATATTATATATAACCTTCACCAAACCAATACTTTCTCATCTGTTAATAACTGAGATCCTTTCAAGACTTTCCAACTGAAATTTTAAAAACCAAAGTTTAGCATCAGACCATGCACGGCTTGCTGGGCTGTTGTATCCTCATTAGATTCACCAAGGTAGTGCTTGTATATTCACAAGCTTCCTGGGACGGTTCTTTAGTTGTAGATTTAGATATACCACCACCGATTGCTGTGCACTGCTCACCTCAGCACTCTTGCGTACAGCACACAGTGATCCACTTAATATTATTGTTAATACTGGCTTCAGGCTACAGCAAAAGCAGTCGAAATTGTCTGGGAAAAAATGGCCTCTTGGGTGTGCAGATATGCTCTGCGTGACTTGTGCTCATTTTAAGTATGGTACTAAATAGAAGTGCTCAAGAAATATCAAAAAAATTATGTATCTGGAAGCAGGTCTCAGGGTGATACGTTGCTGCTGTTCATTGCAGGTATATTTTATTATAGTGAGGCAACAAGTACATGCAGTGGTTTAGACTGAAAAAGATTTGCAACACTGGACCATGGAAGTCAGAGATGGAGAAGGTCATGAAGACCACTTCTTTTCTCAACATACGACCAATGCTGCTGGACCGGGCTGAAAAGTTATGAGGAAAACCCAGGTCATTTTTCTGAGGCAGCTGAGGCTACTTGGCTGTCACCACCAGAGCACTCTATTTCATTAATTTTGCACATTTTCTGTGCCGTGTAGCAGCTCTCCATTGCCCCATGTTTCACATGTGTATAAAATATATAAAGTCTATAAAAGTAGAATTCTCACTGAGTACACCTAGAGGAGCCACACAATCAATGTGAAAATACAGTTTCAGGAATTTGAAACCCAGGGAATAAAGCTGTGTGTGCTGAAAAGTTGGCAACAGCATATATTGTCGTGCCAGGAAGGTTTTTCGGTGATTGGTGAGATAAAATACGGATGGAGAAGATAGGCAGAGAAAATTCCCTATCCTGTGTGGATTTACAGAAGCGCACAACTCTGTGTTGTAATCGGGTCTGTGGCAAAGGGAAGGTTTTAGCAAAGGTGATGGAAACTAGATGGTCCCTGGGTGCTAGCAAACTGGACTTTCATGCCACTTGTACAATCTTTTTTAGCTGAATTTGTGCCCTCAAACTAGTCTCCCTAATTTGCTCACCTGACTGAGCCACTACACACTGTACTGTCAGTTAGCAGTCTTGGACTAGTCAAGCCTGCTTCAGAGTAAGGATTAAATGGCAGATTAGAAGTTGTGAAGACTGAAGAAGCCTGGCACGGTAAGCACCTTGAGCAATGACTAGCGCGAACCAGAGCCAAACCAGTTTCTGGAATCCCAGAACACTAAGTTCAAAAGGAAAAGTTTATAATGAGTTTCATTATAGTTTGACTCAAAGTAAATACTTGATTAAAGAAGACATTACAGGCTGTAAGCTCTGTAATTTTCTTCACGCATACTAATAATTCCAGCTTCCTACTACACTGGTACATATTAATTTTCAGTTTTATAGCTTTCAGTGAATTCTTAAATATCATTTACTTTTTCCTCACACAGACTATTTATTTTTATTCATACAGACACGCAACGAAAACTGAAGAAACACTGCTTTATACTGTAATAGCAGTCAGACATAAACCCAGAGAGACAAAATGTATTCCAGTAATTTAGCTTCTGAGACAAAGTGGTAAGTAGGGAAGAAATATGACCCCATGGTTAGGGTAGCAGCCTAGACTTGGAAAAATGGACTTGAGACTCTGCTTTACCACTGATTTCCTATTTTACTTTGGGAAAGCCACTTAATTCCTGACCTTTAAACGCCTTGATGTAATTTGTTATCACTTATTCTGCATAAAGAAAGGCACCCAAATGCACTCGTAGGACCAGGCTCCCTATGCCTCAGCTCTCCTCCTACAAAAGAAGCGTAACAGCACAGTCCTACCTCCACTTCGTGGTGATCTTCTTTGAGGAGAAGCAGAAGGGAACAAGGAGAAATCAAGTTTTGCATTTAGCCCAACAACAAGCAAAGCAAACTCTTCCCAAAACCATCTCCCATCCACGTGCTGCAGGAGGCTGTGTCACCCCCTCCCGCCATGCTTCACAAGCCTGAGTCTTTCTGGTCACGCCAAGATTGCTAGCGAAGATGGGAGCTAATGCAGATCTGTGCTCTGATCATTTTACTGAAACTGTCATTTATTTTACGCAGAACATCAAATGGGCATTGAATGCTGATGAAGTGGGGTTTTTTATTACCAATCTGTGCTTCTCAGTAGGGAATCTTAAATGCTAAAATATGTAAGTACTCCAGAGCAAATTTCAACAGTTTTTGCCTTAAGGACAATCTCATAGATGATGTAAGATAATATTGCTTCAAAATTTCTATTTTTATCTTCACGAGTACAGGATCTGACTTAAAAATTTCATATGGGGATATTTATACTACCTGCAAGAGATTGTTTTAATCAAAATGTGCAAGTGTATTTCTCTGAAAGATTATCTCACATTCCATTTGTAAAACACTGAAACATAATTATTACACAGCATCGAAATTCATATTGACAGCATCTCTTCAGGCATGCCTAGTCAGGACACATGGAGATAGGAACTGCCTGACAGTCATTTAAAGGGTGGCAGTTTTGGAACACATTTTAGCAACAAGGCAGGGGAGAAATCACAAAATACAAGACATTTTCACAGTTTGCCTTTAAAATTCAGAAGTAGTGTGCCATAAAAATAACTTGGTGTATCAGAGCTCTGCATTTAAAACAGAAAAAAAAAAGCCAGGTGTCCGTGCTGATGCTCAAGGGAGATTGGTCTGGAGAGGTAAAATCAAGTTCTAAACTCCCAGCCAGATCTGCTGTCAAAAACCACCTCCAGAAAGCAAGCTTTGCTGCCTGTGCAACTGGCACACTCCAGAGCTTGTGCTAGCCAGGGTCTGGATGCCTGCCACCCCCTCCTGCTCTCCGGTGTCCCATCTCAGGCTCTGCAGACCCAGATGGCCCCATGCTACTGTTAATGATGGGGGTCAATCCTTGCCAACTCTTGGCTGTTCACTCCAGCCTCCCGTTTCATGGTCTCATCACCAGAACTGACATTATTTGGCAGCCCCTTGCTGTTCCCTGCAGTGCCACTGGATATTCGTAAGAACATAGGAAGGTGGGATTTAAGTTGGAGAGGGCCTCATGAGGCTCTGGATGTAGCTCTGTGCTAGTGCAAATAAATATTTCCTATGGTTCTGAGGCAGGTGACCTGCAAGAGTAAAGTCATGTTAGTAGGAACACACCGATGAACATCAGTTGTGGATGAGCCTTAAAGAAGCAGAGAAAATTGAGATTTAAGATCAAAATAGCAAGTCCATGGTACTTTCCTCTATTTAAAACAAAATCAATAAAAAGAAACATACAGCTGGAAGGAAAGCTAGCTTGATACAATCATGGTAAATTAGAAGTCCTTTAAGGCAATGGACGCTGTATTTTCTTCCTCAGAATTAGGCATTTCAAATACTGACAGACCTAGTAAGGCACAATCAATATATCAATTCCTTAGTGAACTATTAATTATATATATCGCTGATGAATAATCATTTAATTAGCATAACGGGAGACTTCAGTGAAAAGGCTGTCTACCAAGCATACTGGACCTAAAAATAGCAATAGCTTTTCAACCAGGAGGCTTTGCATGAAAAAGCTATTGCTCAGCTTCTGGTCTTAGCACGCGTTACATCGCTCGGCCAATACAGAGCTTTGCGAATAAAGTTTCTCCCCTTTATCACAGCAGTGCTGCCATATATAATTTGTTCCTCTAAGGCATGGTGGCAAGGGTTTGGTATGGATTACCTGAATCAGTTCATCAAGCTCTGTTGCATTCACACAGGAATGCTGAGATACAAACGTCTGCTTCTGAATCACAATGGTGGTTTTCTGGGAGGTCTCATGAGGCTGCTCCAGGGCTTTAAATACTGTTGCTCCAATTATTAAATACACGACTACCACCAGAAATATTGTTGAGACTGTCTTCCATTTCATAACATTAATAGCCGAATCGCTTTCCTCCCGTGAAGAGAGCACGGTAGGCTTGGTGGAAAATGATAATCTTGGTTTGGAGTTCTGAGTGGCCGATTTGGGATCCAGCAAGTCAGGTGCCGCCACTGGCAAAACAGAAAAAGAAAGTTAATTTTTACAGCGCCGCTCAGATTTCGTTAACTGAACTTCTTGCCAAGAGATTACAGAAATGCTGTTGCTTCCAACTGGAATTCTTAAACTGCTGAATCTTTCACATAAAACCCCATGCCACGTTACAAGGAAGCTTCTGCTCTGAGTAGTATTACCCACTTTACACACATTTGCAACATTTTCTGTATGTGTCTGTCCCCTTCTGGTATTCGCTCATTTCATAAACGCGGATTTCCCCTATGCTCCTGCATTTAAATTAGTATAAGGTGGTATTTTGCTGCAGAGATCCTTCACATCCGCTGCTCTCCTAAGCACTGCTAAGCAGCTTTCCAGCTGTGTTGCACCTCAGCGTTACAGAGGTAGCAGAAAAATACAAATCCCTCTTCCTCTCACCTATTTTGTCCTGCACCCCGACAAATGCTCTCTGACAACAGTTGCATGATCACTTCCAAACTCCACGGACACAACCATAAGAACAATACATCGCTCATCATACCAGTCTTAAAACGTTAATTGCGTATTGATTACACCTTTCAGAAAATACCAGTAAAACATATGTGTACTTACTGGAAAAGTCACCCATTTGTTAAGGCGTGTATTTTTATTTACAGCTCCAAAACCCCACCGGGTTAGAAAAAGAGCAGCCGAGTGTGTTATCAAGTATCTCGGTAACTCATGTGACTACCGGCAACTACACTGGCACTAAAAAAAAAATCCACCACATCAAGTGCAGGTAAAGATCTCCCGTGGGAAGATGGCCACAGCAGCTGACCGCATAAGCTGTATTTAAATTGTTTTAAACTACAAGTACATTGGGAACGGCCGCG